TTAGGTAACTTGAGGCACTTCGATCTCGAAAGTGGAACAGACTGACTGATCTCATGCATGATTTTGTGAAGTATGAATCTCCAGTGGGTGTTCATATCTTGCCATACATGGTTAACTTTTCAATCTGTCTGTTCCAGTGTGGTTAGAAGAGCCAGGTGTTGAGTAGTCTGAAGTTGCAACGACGTTTATTGAAGGGTCTGGTTAGATTGGTTTCGCAGACAAACTGGAAGCCGATAACAACGTGGTCACTTCTGCCCAGAGGAGGAAGGATTGTCAAATTGTCTATCAGGAATTGTTCATTTGGGAAGATGCAGCCTGAGCGAGATGGGGTTTGAGTCTCCCTGACTCGCTTTACCGTCTCACATTTTCCGTAAGCCCCAGTCCCTCAATCAGCTCCCCAATCAGATGGGAGGATCTGACTTCAATGGAATCGTCACTCCGGTTAAGCGTGTTATCTGCAAAGTTGACCTTCAGTATGTAAAAGTCGCCTGAAATTAATGTGTGTGCCCCAGTTTAAGAGGGCGATTGATTGCCTCTAGCATCTGGTCGTCACACTGTAAGTCAGCAGATGGCTTCCTATAAATGACTCTCACCAAAACACTTCATAGTCTTGGACAGCTTTGTGGTGCACCGAACAGATTCTTAGAGGCATTCCAGTTCCTGTATGTGGATTTGGTGGGCTGAGAGAGAGGAGCTGACGTAAAGTGCTACCCACCCCCAACACATTTGCTTGTTTGGCAAGCTCGTTAGTGACTCGCATAGTCTGCTGTCTATTCCACTTCCTTGCAGACCCATGTTTAGCCTTGCCAATTTCCAGATCCCCTGCTTGGGTTTGTTCCCTGTGTTTCCCACCTCCCCAGACCCGATGGGTTTGACTGGAGTTGAAACTCGACTGTTCTTACTTCGTACAATGAATACCCATTCTCCATCTTGAGCATCCTTGGTTGGTGTGACCGTATCGTTTTGCACCTCATTTGTTGATGACAAAATCCTAATGAAGGATTTTAGGACAGTTGATGTTATTGCACTACTGGGGTGCATCATGTCCTCCATCAAACCAACCCTTGCTCTTGTTGAGTGACTTGAACACTTTTTCTGCTAGTCGATTTTGTAACTCCATAACCCTCATGCTTAGGCACTGCTTTTGAGTTCTCCAGCTCCCTCTTTTTACGGTCTACTGTCAGTCCGTATTTTAATTCCGATAACATGCCGATGGTGTTCTCAAGAACATCATCGAGTTCAGATCTACACAAGCGGCAATGCCACTTGCAGCCAGACTTGCTGAGTTCAGTGTACTCAGTTTGCGTTAGGTCAGTGCAAGCACCATGGAATCATCCATCGCATTGCATACCCACCTGAGCAGGTTGACGACAGGCCTGCCTCTCCCACATCTGTTTGGCCACCATTGTCGTTAAAAGTATAAAAGGTGTCGAAAAACAGGAAAAAAGATCAACAGAAAAACTCTGGAAAACTTGAAAAAGAGTAGTAACCTTAGAGTTATCAGATCAAACCAAAACTGGGACAGAGGTAAAGCCTCATTATCCTAGTACGAACAGAAAAACACATAAAAGTAGGGTAAACTTATCGAACTGGAAGCTCGAGAGAATACTCTTACTGAAAACCAGAGATATCGTTGCGTTATAAACAACAAAAGCTAAATTGTTAAATCATGGTAAGATTGCACTTCCTTTTAAAAAGTGTCAAATGTATCCACTTATTATCTTCATCCTAATCACCAATGGGTCACGGGTTCGAACTTTTCCCCACCTACCGAGGTTTGGACAGCCAGGTAGTATCCTTATCCCTCATGCAATAAGTGTGGCTTATTGCCTGATGTACGAATGGGCACAAAGCTGCTGAGTGCATTTCGATTTTAATTCTGTTAGTGTTACCTTGTTATCACGACGTTATGCGATTTTAAGTTGTGCATTTTACCTTGATTTGTTGATATGGTCAGTTATGCCGGATGTCATGTTTATACTGACCGACTGACTAACTGATTTCTTTCAGTCGTTGAACACAATATGCCCTTATTCTTTGCTATTCTTTCATCCTTTTTTAATTATTATTGCTCGTGTTCTGTATCTCACTGTCTTGGTACTCGACTTTCATGTACTGTGTTTAACCTATGGATGCAACGAAAGATGGATTCTACAATCAAAATAAGTCATCTCACCTGAATCTGTCAAGGAGTTATCTTCACTGATAGCTACTGCGCTGATTTATTTGGAGAGCTTGCTTATCGTAACAACCGAACGAGCTATAATGGTTGGAATGGTTTTCCTTTCTAGTCTCATCATACTAATAAGGTCTGCTGGGTTTTGGTGAGACTAAATGCTGCTAATGTTATGGTGTAAATGATCATATCGCTATAAGCCACTGGAGAAAAATGACCTCTCTCTTAGAAATACCTTTTTGATCTCCGATCATGCATTATTCTGCACATGCCTGCATCTAAATGAAAGTATACAGACAGGAAGACAAATCAATATAAAACATCGCACAGAATTGCCATTCGTTCATTCCACATTTTACAGCAACATGTGATGAGGTAGATAAAATGAGAATAACAAGCAAACAGCTGTGAAACGATTCTTTATCTGTCTGAAAGATAAAAATAAGTGTAGATCTACGGAGGAAGTGATTACATGCTCACTTAAATACGGTAACATTACTCATTTTTCTTATTATAGGCGTTACTATGAGACTGCTTCAGATGACCAATCATTCCATTTTATAAATAGGGAAGTTTGACAGGGATAACTGCAGGAAAATCAGTCTGACTAACACGGTATCTAACATCCTAGGGTCCTTAGCCATCTAATGCTTGGACAAACCAGACTGTTTCTAGACCCGGACGGGAGTGGAGTTATCAGATCTTGACCCTTCGACAGAGAAATAGTTAATGCTCTGCGACATCCACCTTTTTACTGTCCTGATGGCGTCTTTTGCTTGTATCAACGTTTCGTGGCAGTGTCTGACTATGAAGAGACTCTCGAGCACGAACAACGTACCGACCAAGCCTCCACCTTAAAATTATACATGGTCATCATCAACATAGGACCAGGCATTACTGCGTAACCGTCCGAGTTACCACAACCCATATCAGTACGTCAAGTAAAAAGTCAGTGAAGTGGAAGATGAGGAGAAGAAAATTCAGTCAAAAGAAATATGAAGCACTAAAAGAGGGAAAGGAAGAATGAGAAAATGCCGAGATTCAGTATAGCGTTAAGATGAGGATACTGTGTGTATACATCTGCGCCACTGAAATCGGTTCTCAACTATATCACCTAGAGTCAGTCTCCAACCACTGGTTCGTCTTTTCCCGGGGACCCCAACCACCTAGTCTGCATCGCCCCACATGGCTCAAATCAACAGTCAGAGACTTCAAACATTTGTGCCATGTTTTAGTCTGGCCACCTCGGGCCTTTTTCCAGCCTGGACCTACTTCGATTAATGTTGTGTGATGAGGCAATCGGCGACTATGCCTGCGTAACACGTGTCCCAACCATCTCAGTCGATGAAGGTTCACAACCTCGTCAACTGATTTACCTCTTCTCCCTAAAACATTACACCTGACTTCTGCATTACTCACATGGTGACACCACGGAATACGGCCTATACTACGAAGGCGACGGTGGTCAAACACCTGAAGCCTTAAGATTACAAGAACATCCAAGGCTTTATGGAAAATTATTGACTACGGTGATCACGACCAATGATCTTCACCATACATTTTCACTGCGATCAATATTGTTTGATCTCTTTATAGATGTAATCCTACTTACCAGCGATTTATCAGGGCTCAGCCAAAAGCTTAGGGTATCTGCTTTCCCTTAAGTGTGCCTTTGGTACAATCTGGCTAAGTGAAATACTAACAAGATACAGATGATTGTATTGCATCAGCCTAGACGGTCTGGTTGCTGAGGCAATCTCAGCGCGGATACACAAAGGCCGTTTGGCGTTTGCCAACTTGCGTCATCTCTGGCGCCGACTGGTTAGGTATCCGACCGCCTATCAAAGGACGAGTATACCTCGCTACAGTCCTTTACGTCTTGTTATACGGCTGTGAGACATGTCAGTAATAGTAGAAGACAACAAGTGGTTGCAGGGTTTTGGTCACAAATATATCTTCGTAGCATTGCTCGCGTTTGGTGGAATCACCATATGAGCAATGTTGAAGTCAGGTGAGGGGTACTAGGTAAGACAGGCAAGTCGATTGGTGAGGTTGTGGAACCTTGGTCGACCGAGATGGTTTAGACATGTACTGCGCATGCCGAGCCACCGCCTACTTCGATTTGTCATGCTAGGAGAAATTGGAAGAGGTTTCAAAGTGGGGAGACTGAGATTTACGTTTGGCAATTACAAGACCATCATACTGACCTATTGTTATGTTTCTTCACTTTTGTTCTTTCTTTCGGTTTTTAATTACATGTTGACAGATGTAGTAAATTAATATAAACCTATCATTTGCCAATGGTTTACTTACGTCTTACCCAAATTAGCTAAGTTTAGACATTTTCTTCTTAACTTAGGTAGTCTATTGTCACTTCTTTAGAATAGCTGAAAGGTGGTAAGTTAACCATAGTCATTAGTTAGGTGTTTTCAGATGTTTTCTAACCACTTCATTTTGACCCAGTAGCTGAGTAGTAATATTTTATTTGTGAGGCTTTGTAGTCAAGCTCAGTGCTATATACTATTCTAGGTGAACACTAGTGAGTAGTGCTAAGCTAATAGGGGATGGTCGTTTAATGTTCACTGATTTTCCTGCTGACATCAGTGCTTGATGAAAATGTTTATTGGAGTCAATTGACTCCCCAACAAAACATGAATACTTATTTAGCATTTTGGGAAGCTGTATATCTAGCGGGTCACTTTACTATTAGCCTTTCACTACTTTATCTTTTTTAGCATCAGTTAAATGTGATCAAGTATTCAGTAAACTAATGAGAAATTATTTTGGTTATCAATATTCATCCATGTTCTCTTTAATTTTTTAGATCTATTCAAGTTGGAACAAAAACAGGATATAGCCTTCTATCAACTGTCGGTGATCAGGTGACTGAGACATTTTCTTCCAGTGAGTTTTCTTCTAAAATAATTAATTCAAACAAAACTATTTAATTCAATAGCTGGTGATCCAATGTGTATTGTTGGAAGATTATTCAATCGAAGCTTAGTTACTCTTGTCTCACAGAATGATATGCGCAGGCTACTCGTTGCACATTCCAGAATAAACACATTAATTTGTCACTATCGTTACACATTAACTATATTAGCAGTTAAAATGAATCATCAGGTAATTTGTAATTTGTTTTGAATATCGATTTTTATTATTCTAGGTTTGTCATATTTAGTAGATATATTAGAAAATTCTATCTGAGGGTTTATGGAGATTTATTAATTGATTTTTAGTTGGAATTGATCTTGGACTGACATTAGTTGGAGGAACACTGAAAACCTGGGAGCACTGAACAGCTGTCTGGTCCTAATACGGGGCTCCTCAGCTGTGCGTACCCACGACCCTGCCAAGGCTCGAACCCAGACAATTAATTTAGCGTTCATTGGTGACTAGCCTCGAGAGGTGGTTCCCCAAGTTCCAGTGAGAAGTCGTGACCATTGGAGTCAACCAAGTCAAATTTGAGGACAGTTACTCAACGACGACATTGGATGTAGGTCGCGCTATATCGTAAACTGACAGAAGTAGGAAATATGGACCATTGGATGCTGACCCAGTGGTGACGTGGTGACCACGGAACCTGAAGGCCATCGGTTCGATCCCCTACGGGGACATGGTTGCGCACTTCTGAGGAGTCCCATACTAGGAAAAAATAGCTGTCCAATGCTCCCAGGTTTCCAGTGTTCCTCCAACTGATGTCAGCCCATGATAAATTCCTACCTAAAGTTAGACAATGTTTAGCAAATTGGAAATTGTTGGTTGGTTGGAGGCGATCGGCAGGAAGCCCTGTACCTAGGTTTCGTGCTTCTTGGCACTCGTCAGCAAGGCGTATCTGCCACCTCGACGGAACTGATGTCCTACCTGAGATTCGAACCCGCGTCACCCAGTGTTGTAGTCAGCGACTTTATCACTGAGCCATTCGGGACGCGATTGACCTCCTGTAGGACTGGCTTACATGTATTGATTGGTCACGGGAGTGCAGCCAATTTCATGTTGTCTGGTCCTGAATGCCGATTGCCTCCAACCAACTAACATCTCCTAATGTGCACCGCGATGCTGAGCTTCCTAGCTTGGTTGCCACATTGCAAATGTGATCGATAGAATTCGGTCTGCACTCAGGAACAGACAACATGAAATTGGTTGCACTCACGTGACCAATCAACACAAATTGAAAATTTCCATTTAGATCTATATATAAAATGAAGGATAGATTATGTGGATTAGTGTTTCTTTTCAATTAGGTTATCATCATCGACTCTACACTAATGTATTGATTTTAAGGTTAATAATACAATGCCATTTAGTGGTGGTGGATTTATTGACTAAAATAATTACACATTTCAAGTTACTCATGAAGCTAATAATTAGAGAATAAAGATTTAAACTGATGAATACGTTGATTATTGAAATAACGCAAAACTGACTGCATAATAATTAACATGAAAAGTGAAGAACATTGGAAGCTGGTTACGTGTTCTCAATAGAGAGTTATATAATAATGAGATGGAGAAATAAAAAGACAATATGAACTGAACACGGGAGAGGGTCTTTGGTTAATAAATTATAGTCCATTGCATGAAAAAATAAAATAAATTCCATACATCAAGAATTCTCATTTAGTTACATTTGGTGTACAATGAGGTAGGTCCATGGTCGAATTTCTGAGCATCACTCATTATGGCTGAATAAGGAACAGATTAGAACAATATAGAGCTTCATACTTGCACACCAAGTCGATACTGATAAAGTGTTTGAAATTATTCATCGTATACCAATTAGAAATGGTATTCATCATAGACCGACATCAGTTGGAGAACCACCAGACTATTGGATAGCTGTTTTGTTCTAGTATGAGACACCTACAATTCGACCAGGGATCGGCACCTGGGTTCTTACCGATCATCTATGGTACCTGACTTTCAAGCAGTGGGTCACGGGCTGAAACCTCACTGCACATCCTTCCACCTTGGCAACCGGGTAGTATCACAAGCCCCGCACACTACAAGTGCGGCTGATAGAGTCTAGCACCGGGTTGAGTTGCACTTTGTTTCTTTTGGTGCATCTTTTAGTGCTTACATTGTACTAAGTTTGTGTTTTAAATAAGTAAACGATCATCTGTGGATAACTTAATGGCACTTGAAACATTAATATAAGCTTTGATTCTTATAAATTGAAAAAGAAATTGATGACTAAACTGTAACCACTACAGTACTTCAGTCCTTAATGACAGTGTTCTTGTCAATTGAGCTTCTAAATGCGACTGCATATTCCGATGCATTGATTTCATTATTATTATTATTATTATTATTATTATTATTATTATTACCTGTATTGTTATCATGATAATTATAATAACGATAATATATGGGTATCAGGAAAAGGCTTTACATTTAAATTTCATGCCTTAGATACTCAGAGTTGAAATGAATTGTAACTCAGCAACCAAGTAGGTGATGAGCCTGGCTTGTTCGCTGATGTCTAGTGATACAACGTGGATGCGCAAACCTCAGTAGTTTGATAAACTTTCATACCCACAACTTATTAGATGAAAGTGGACTGCGTAGGGTAATTAATGAGTTGCAGCTTTCTTCTCACACTTTTATCATCAAGGTGTATATGTAACGTTAAAATAGTTTATGCTACCTTTGTAGTTTCAGCATTTCTTGTTCCTCTTAGCGAACTAATCAAGCCAAAAACACTGCTGACTAAACACCAAGCTTGGTATGAAAATTTCTTCTTACCGACTATGTATACCTTTGTGCATAATGAAGATGTTTATCAGTTATTGAAGTTTAGGACTTCTATCGTTCGGAATGGCTGAGGTAAGCGTCATGCATACGAAACTACCATTTACCTGGATATGTTACATTGGCTGGATTATGATTACGTTGGGAGAAAGTTACTGGTAGTGAGGCCAGTGTGTGTGATACCAATTCATAAAAAGTTTGAATATTAGTTTAAATAGTGTAGGGAATTTCACACTTTTTAGATGGGACGCGCGAAACATCCGAAGATTGTCAGTGATGTGGTGCGGAATCAATCTCTGATGCATTCATATATTTTCTGAGTCCAAATCATTACTCTTATTCTTTTTTTTCGCTCCTCTATCCCTTAACCTTTCACCACCGCCAATATCATTATTTTATTTCCCCTCCTTCACTTCCGCACTTCTATTTGATGTTGTGAAATGCTTGGATGAATATGTCGTTTGTTATGAATGGTCAAATCAAGAATGATTATGACAAGAAATGGCAACTGTTTTTATCTTTAATGCATTTTACGTGTATATATGTTTGTGGGGATCTGAAATCCGGCTAGACAAACGTTCTGCCGCATTGGTACACTAACTCACTCCAAGGTATCAAGCTCAATATTTCCTGTAGAAGTCTGTGATGTTTATCATGCCAGTAATTTTCGTGTATGTTTTCGTCACTTAAACACTGGCTGATGATTGAAGATGAAATGAAAATCTGAGCCGTGGCAGGACTCGAGCCAGCAACCACTCAGTTTCCTGCCCACTACTCTACTAACTGAGCTACGAGACCCGACTGCTGACCGGATTTTTCTTTTATTTCAATCATCAGAGTTTCTCACCCATTAACAGTTGAGTTATTACATTCTGCAAAACAAATAGTGTAAAAATCAAGCGGATTAAATAACTAAGGAAAAAGTTTTACAAACCAGCAGGTTAGAAATGCGTTTCCTTTGCTCACTAGACCGGTGACTTAAAGCTCACCCTAGCAACTGCCTAAATAGCCAAACAGATTTTGGTATGCCAGCTAGAAAGATAGTTTTTCATGAAATATAATAGCGTAATCGGTTATCTCAGTTGTTAGGGTGGCTTTCAAAGTAGCCCAGTTAGGCCTATCTTAAACCTCGAATAAAGGCATATGTCCTCAAAAATTCGAAAAAAAGTAGGTAACGACTTTTTTTACGAATGACTTTAAAGGCCGCCCTAACAACTACCTAGATAACCGGATTATGTTTCTTTATTTTTTCTGAAAAAAACTACCTATCTAGCCGTTACACCGAAACTTGATTGGTTATTGAGGCAGTTGCCAGGATGGCGTATATAGTCGTCCTCTTTTAACCTCAGAAATTCTTAAAGCTATGTACTTTTAGCCTAAACACAGCTCAGCTTATTTTTTTTGAAAGATTCATTCGGAACATGACAGCTTGAATATTTCAGCTTTGTAAACCAAAATACAGGCTTATGTGGACGGTTTGAACATTCATCTTAAAGAGTAGTAGTGTATATGAATAAGCTACGCCTTTGAAGTAAAGACAGGACTAAGACAAGGCTGCCTACTATCACCCATGATCTTCCGGACTGTGGTCGACTGGATCATGCAGCAAACCGTGACGAGCGAGAAGATGGGCATAGGCTGACTGGACCGATGAAAAGACCCTGGAAGAAGATTTGGACTTCGCCGATGATTTATGTGCAATGTTGCACAAACTCGAAGATCCATAGGCGAAAACTAACAACTTATATGAAGTACCATCAAGATTTGCTCGTATAGTGTGGCAAATATTCGGCGCCGAGCGAAAGGTTGACATTATATATAGAACTGTATTTGTGCAAATCACAACGGGTTCGAAATCAAATAATTCTAACGTTTCGCATGGAAGTCTGGTCCGAGCTTCTTCAGGGAAATAATCAACATTAAAATATCAAGGATATACAAATGAATTCAAAAAATGTGTACTTAATCGCCTTGTCCAATCCTCTTCGTATAGTCATTGTCTCCCTAAATTATGATAACTAATCATTCAGGGTGGACTTGTATGTCTTTTGTTGCATGGCATATGTATGTTATATGTGTATGTACTCCAATTCATATTCGCTTTGATTGCAAATATCAGAAAAAAAGGACATTGGCGACGTAGTCATTCGGTAATTTCTTATAAGTACAAATTGAAAAGGATGAGGTGGATGTGTATACTATTTCGGTTGAAGTAAAGTGGTGAATAGTGTTAGCAAATTTTTTTTCCGCATTGATTTACCGGAATAGAGTGGAAATGAGTGGTAGTAATCATGGTGGTGAGGATGACGATGATAGTAATAATGAATCAGATCAGTGCAGGTTATGTTGTTCTTGATGAAGATATAATGGAGTTGAGACTATTGTTTACGGTAAATGTTTTGAGTCACTCTTTCTGTTTACTAATTAGTAATTGCCAAGAGGCAGCTAACTGTACACCATCTCGTCTCTACAAATTGTCTGGATTCGCCCATATATGTAGGGCATAGGCTGTCAGTCTTTCTTGGTATGATCCAAAACCCTTTTGTAGAACCTTAGTTCCGTCAAAGTCGATTTTGTGTCCCATTTCTATGGAGTGTAACGTGATCGCGGATTTGTTTTCTAGTTTCTTAACCTCTGCTGAGGTTTTTGAGATCTGCTTTAAGCATAGTTTATGCTCATTGACTCTCACATTTACCTGTTTGGCTGTTTCCTCTACATATACTGCAGTACAATCTCCGCATTTGATTTCATAGACGCAGTTCTGCTGATTTTCTTTAGGTACTAACTTTCATTAAGTTAGAACGTACGGTATTTGTTGCACGGAAGTAAACTCTTGTGTCGTGTTTGTTGAGAATCCTCCTTATCTCTTCTGAAGTCTCCTTTCGGTATGGGATTATGACCGTGCTTGTCCAATTCTTCGGAGGGATTTTCGGGACATCCTTAATTTCATTTTTTATAATACGTCTAACGAAATCTTTGGGATAATTGTTTGCTTCGAGTGTGCAGCAAACTAACTTTAACTCTTCCTTCTTGTCTTCTTCCGTTGTAACAAGACGGTTAGCTCTGCTAATCAGATTCCGTGCAACAGTTACCTTAGTAGTCAAAGGATGTGCAGACTGATAATCGAGATATCTGTCAGAATGTGTAGCTTTTTTGAATATCTTAATCTTTAGTTTGTTGCAATCCTGTCTTGTCACTATACAGTCCATAAAGTTTAATTTCGACAAATCGGATTCAACTTCCTTGGTGAAAGTTATACTTCAGCACACATTATTTATGTGACAGAAGAGTTCATCCAGACTGTTTCGTTTGATGATGACAAACGTATCGTCTACGTACCTTAACCAAATTCTTGGAGGTGTAGAGCAATTTACAATGGCGTTTGTCTCTAAGGAATGCATGAACAAATTAGCTACTATTGGTGATACTGGAGATCCCATTTCTATGCCATCTGTCTGTCGATACAGATCTCTTCTGAACGTGAATACAGTCGATCGTAAGCATAATTCCAGGGACTTCAAAATTTCTCCCGGATCTAATGGACAACGTGAACTTAGGTCAGTATCTGACAGCAGTAGGTTACGAACGAGATCTAACGCATCTTTAATAGTCACGTTAGTAAATAAAGAGCAAACCTCAAAACTTACCATTATTTCGTCTTCTTCTATGTAAGATGAAATGATTTTGTTCATGAATTCATACGAATTCTTTATTACCCATTTTAATTCCTTTTCGTATGGTTTTAGGATTCGTAAAATGCATTTTGCTAAATTGTATGTGGGTGAATTAGTAAAGTTCACAACTGGTCTGGGAGGTATATCTGTCTTATGAAGTTTAGGCAATCTGTAGAATCCACAAGGGTTGCAACGTTTTGGTGCTAATGAGAATCATAGAGAAGTACCTAACTTGTCCTTCATAGATTGTATGAGTCTGCTAGTCTCGGCTTTCAGCTTGTTTAGTGTGGCACGTGACTTTGTAGGATTTATCTTTTGATAGGGACCAGCATTAAAATGTTCTCTTGCCATTCTCGTAATCAATTGCATTCATTACCACTGTAGTGTTTCCCTTGTCTGCCTTCGTGATGATAATATTCTTATGTTTGCATAAATGCTTCATAACCAAGTGTTCCGTATTACTTATGTACGACTTATTAGGCTGCTGGTGTAGTAGCGTGTTCGGTATTTTGTGTCTCACCTCATTTGCTGCTTCATCTGATATACCTTTTAAAGCTGGTTCATTTGCAGACACTACTTCAAAAGCTGATAGACTTGGTTTGTTCACATTAAAATTCAAACCCTTCTGAAGGATGGATAATTCATATTCAGATAAATTGCGGTCGGAGAGATTCACTACCACCTTATTCATGTCGAGGCTACTGGATTTCCTCTGTTGTGGCTTTGAAGATTTGGTTTCATGTGAAACATTCGTTCGAACTTTTTAGTTTGTCGAGTGGAACCCAAATGAAAAGCGACCAGTTGGGCGTCCGAGGAGGAGATGGTATGAAGAAGAAATGAAAGCTTCTGGGCAGTTGTTGAGCCAGGTTAAAAAGACTGAAGAGAACAGACTTAAATGGCGACGTGCTGCTGAATCCGTATGTTTCACTAGGAACCTAGGGGACAAATGATAATAATGTGAATAAGCTAGGGACTGTTGACAATGTATATCGGTATAGGTTAATCGTCCCTTAGTGTTTCACAGACGTGATGTGTCCAAATGATGAATTTAAAGGCAGTGGTCGAAATAATCCTATTAGGTTTCTTCATTTCGCCTGGAAAGGCAGATTTTCATAAAACAGAGAAGTCTATTGGTTATTTCAAGTTGTTGCTAGGGTGACCTTTAGAGGCACTTGTGATGACTCTTCACAAAATTTGACTGGTATCATAAATCGGAATAGTGAGTGACTCGCATGTCTACTAATATGTAAGGTAGGCTATGCAAAATGAACAGGATTAATCGTTGAATCAACTGAAGGCGACTCTTGGTCAGCGAGTAACCAATTCATTTGGGTCTACATTGTTAAATTCAACTTCTGTCCCTTGTATTTTGTTGCGAACATTAAAAGATTCGCATTACCTAGAAACAGCCTAAACGGAAAATATTCTTTTTAGTAAGTTGTCATCAGTTTCTGCCGTTATCAAATCCAGTTCTGAGTAAAAAAAAAGCCAAATCTGAGGCGAATACATTTTCAAAATGGAATGTGTTAAGGAAATCCATTTTTCTTCTTAAATTTGTCAATATTAAGGTGATATATGTATACAGATAAAGAACATGATGGACAGCAAAGAAGGAAGGAAGGAGTAGCCTTTAGTTTATTGAAGGCCAAGAGAGGAATAAAGCCTGAACGTGTTCTTTGTGAATGCATACTTCAAATATGATCAAACTTATTGGGACAGCCTGACGTATATTGGGCAGGTGTTGGCAAGCCGCACTTTGCATTGCTTTTTGTAAATGGCGTATGACAATAAAGGGTTTGTTAGCATCTATGTGATGCTCGGTGTTTACTAGGTGCTCTGAGTGAGAACTTTTCACTACTTCCATCTCATCTTTTCAGACTCAAGTCGGTAAATTTTCTCGCATCTAGAAACACACCTGCCTAATCGTACTCTCCATGTAACTTGTTCCACAGGAGCAGATGTATTCGCCTCAAATTTGACTTGTTTACTCTGTACACTTGCATTTTATAACTGTAGAACCTGTATTATCTGCCTTATCTAATAGTAATAATAATTGGTTGATTGAAGCATAAAAGTTGTGAAACGTCGGATCTGAACGCAGCGACCGAAAAGTAACATGCTCGCTATGAGACCTGAATGTCCTGCAGCCGGTTGTGCGTGGCGCCGTGGGCGTGTACTGCTCAAACGTTTCAAACTAGGACAAAGCAGGTGTCCAGTGCTCCCTAGCTTTTAGTGGTCCTCTAAATTATCTCATGATGATGACTTTCCTCAAATAATAATCATAATATTAATTAGAATGTATAGTTCTTTCGTCGTTACCACAATTATCGTCCATTTTTCTACTGTTTTTATCACTCTTAGCGTCTTGTAGTCTGTGTGGAAGATGGGATATTCATTCATAATATGCGTGATATGCAGTTATTGCATAAGGTTGAGGAAACACCACCTAATCGAAACGGTGTTATCGCTCTATCCGCCAATGAAACCAACTGTTATCTAGCCTATCCAGGGTCTCATCGTGTTGGGACTGTTTTCATCTTTGATGCATTAAGTTTTCAGGTATGTAAAAATAATTGCATTATTATTATTTACTGACTTTTCCTCCACATCTTCATACTTTTTTGTTAGATTGTGACTAATTTTGACCATCTTGATATACTTATGAAACAGTACACGGAGTAAATGCTATTCTGTCACTTTGGATTGTAATTGATGGACAAAATGACACGAAATCATACTCTACTTACCATACAATACCCATGTTCTACTCAAACGTGATCGATTGAATTCGATAAGCACTGGGAACGGAACAACGCTTTATTGGTTACCATTCTCTTTCCTCCCATAAACTTGTATCTACCTCAACATCACTCTTTTTCTACCCACTTCTTGTTTGTGTACTCCTGTGAAGTGTGACAACTTTAGCTTATTCACTTCTTGTGTGATCCCGGCGTAGTATATTAGAACAAATAACAAAATAAACAAGTATTTTGTATTATTCCTCAACGTTTCGATCTTGCTGGGAAAATCCTTTTCAAGAGTATGAATCTGACACTAAGTTTTCAGGTTAATATTCAAGGTCACCACTTTCTGTACGAAAACTTGAATATTAACCTGAAAACTTAGTGTCAGATTCATACTCTTGAAAAGGATTTTCCTAGCAAGATCGAAACGTTGAGGAATAATACAAAATACTTGTTTATTTTGTTATTTGTTCTAATATACTACACCGGGATTACACAAGTAAAAATACATCCTATACAATAAATCATACTAACTCGGTGCCCAAGTTTTTTCAAACCATCCAGTACATTGTTGGCCAGGATACCTTCAAACTTATTCACTTCTATTCGAAGTTCTATAATGACTCTGTTTTTCTGTTTTTTCAGCGATTGATCAAAATAATTAATTTGATCTTGCAGAAATTCAGTCAATAACTCAGTACTGTACTAGCTTCTCTGATTGTAGTACTGTTTAGTGCTAATCTGAACCTCAGGTGGATAGCGCCATTATCCTTAGGGTCATAGACTGACGACTTTGGATCAGCACAAAATCTTGATATTTGGCATCTCATCACATGCGGCTGCGACTCATTTGCTTAGCTACTCAACCTTCAACTAGTAAGGTTTGAACCTTCAGGTGGTCTTGTCAACCCACACAAGAGACATGGCGCATTATTTTCTGAAGGGAAAACATGCATCTAGTTGCAAAGTTACAGTTTTTTGTAGCTGCCCTTTTATGGCCTGCTTCTGGACGTCTAAAGTTAACAGGTCCTATTTCTTCCATTTTACTTGTATTCCTTGAAGTGTACAGAATCGTAGAACAAAAAGAAAAGTCAAATAATTTGGTAGTTTAAATTTTCTGTCACTTGATACCGGTGGTCATAAGCAAAAATCAAGCTACAAGAGCATTAATCTCTGGCAAGTCCAAGCTGTCGAATACAGAATAGATGTAAGTGAGCTGTTTCTTGCGAAATTGTAAGTAGTTTAGACTATGTTAGGTTAGAGGAAAGCTAATTTCCCAGATAACCATTGCATAGCACTAGTAAACGAAAAAAATTTAACCAATGCAGAAATGGGATATTTTAGCGTACTGATGAGAAATAAATGCGGTATACATTTGTTGTTTTGTAATTGATTTTGAGTCGTATCACTCAGTGCATCCAGCTACCGACTTCTCTTGCCTGAAGAACCGCAATTAGCAAACCTAATTCTTAAATGACACTAGCAGTTTTTGACACTACTGCAAACATTTCCAATCGAGGAGACCTGCTTTTCATATATAGAGCATATCTCAAACCTGTCCAGTATATCTGAGGTAGAGGAATCACCCTTCTCGATGAACTCATACATTTTTAAGATTTTGACTTGCTTTCGTCATCAAGATTTTGATGGATATTGAAAGACCTACCAGTACATTCTCTATTTTGGAGGGATGGAGGTAGTTGGCAAGGCACCCTGGTTTTGGGCTTCATACCTGTTGGCACTTATTACCAGGACGTATGTGCGACCTTACTGTAATTGCAGCTCCCTTGAGGACTCGGTCCTGCACCAGATATATTACAATTTATGTATCGCGGTCGCGATTGGTCTCATATAACACTGGTAGTTCGTTGCTCAGTAACAAGATGTCATATCTAGTTTTCAACGTTGGCTGATTTTTATCTATTTATTTTGAAATGCTTGGTGTCATGGTGTACTGTGTTTTTCGTTTTGATGGTTGAAGGCAGTCAGTCAAATCTAGATATTGTTATTGCTGGAATTCATCATCAAACGGTGTCTGCAGCTTTGAAGAAGCATATCTGACCCAGAAGTTACTTGATATTGTGCGAAATATATCTGCTATTCACCAATGCAGCTATAAAGTGATAATAACAAGAAAGTTTTGAGAGTACAGATCGCCTTATGTGTAGATGTAGTAGTTACTAAAAACTCATCACCGAAACTGTATCCGCAGCCTCGAAGATTTTCACACTCTATGCAACGCCTATACTGTTCGACTGAGTATACGTAGTTGTTGCGCAATGAACTCAGTGTAATCGTCGTTGCAATAATCCACACACATCTAAATTTATGTTTTTCCAATTGTCATTTCCTTTGTTATATGTGCGTGATTCACGTGTACTTAATTCACTGCAGTCAGTCATCTGATCAACTCACGATTTATATTTAAATAATCGATTATTCGAATACTCTTGGCGAACTATGAAATCGATACAGACCTTAAATCTCACAAACTCTGTTCATTTCATGAAGGTATTACATTTCGTTCTCTATTGGTTATCATTTGATTATTTCGAACAATACGCTATTAGAAACTGTAGACTGTAATGATGAAAAAAGGTCAACAATATATTTCAAACTCAACCGCATGCATTTCTTATTCTACATGAATCGGTCACTGATTATTTAGCTGTCAAGTTTTATGTGCTGAGTACTGATCAAATTGTCAGTTTATCAATCTTTAAATATGACGATGGAACTAAGCGACGTAAGACTGAAGTGCACTATACTTTGTTGTTGGGTAGTAGTAGGTTGATTAGCTAGAGTTTTCATCTTGAGTTGTATAGACGAACAAAATACTCCTAGAAATTTATCATCTTAGAATTCAGTTGCAGGTCATGTTGTATGCTATTCATTAACCTGGTGCCAGAAATAATAAAGGAGTAGCATGTTAATAGGTTTCATCCAAGTATAACTAAGGAATAGAACGCTTTAAACTGATTTATAGTGAACAAGTTTCATCCAGTTTAGTTCATGAGCGATAAACACTGAAGGACAGGATAGAGTTCATGGTACCAAAATGATGTCCTTGTCGAAAATTCACTCTATGCCAATACTTGATTCACCGGCATTTCACACTACCTGACTAACGAAACAAACGTAATGTGAGTTTCTGCCGTGATATTTTGTTTTATAATTAAGTTGAATGATCAATTTTATTGTCAAATTACATCGACTTGTTCCTTTGTTTGATTTCTTTGTTGTAGAATGTCACGTCTATCGCAGCTCATGATGGCTTATTGGCTTGTCTTACATTTAACGCAAGAGCTAATTTATTAGCTACCGCCTCAGAAAAAGGCACTGTGATTCGAGTATTTTCTGTTCCACAAGGAGAAAAAGTCATTGAGTTTCGTCGTGGACTTACTCGGTGAGTTTTTTCCCCTTGGTGGTCAATACTTTGAATTAGTTATATTCCTGCTTCGACTTTTAACCACTGGGTGGCAAGTTCAAACCCTCCCTATTCGATGTGCGCTGAAGTTTGAGCAACGGGTTGGTTCTATCACTAGCCTTCATGCGATGGATGTAACTCATAGTATACAGGAAAGTGCACGGCCTTGCATTTTGTACATTCAGTAAAATCTAACAGTTGAATACTTTAAAAGATGATCAAACTCGGTTGGTGAATAGGTGCTCTCGGAAATGATATGACCCCTAAAAATGCCTTTCATAACAATTTTTTTGGTTAAGGATATCGAGATGTTAGCTAAAGCTACTACTTTTATATATAAGAGTAGCATTTTACCAAGTTTGTTTTTCTGGAAACTTAAGCTCTTTGGCCTATTAACCCGTTTTTCAAACTGTCGATCACGGGTCCTACCCCCTCCCCTATGTATACAGGACTAGGTCACCAAGTAACGTCTTTACAAAATAGGCATGGCTTGTTGCTTATTGAAATCAGGCCTTTTAACCACAGTATTTCTAATAAAAAACGAATATTAACTAACCAATAATTCCGATTGAGGACTGCAACAATTTTTTTTCGGAATCATGTATGTTGTATGGTCAATCAAGCAGACGTTGCTCAAAAAATCACTCGTAACTTCTATTTGATTATTCCTAATGCTTATTTGGAGTACTGCCTAAATAATAATAAAATAAATCAAATAAAAATTATTTAATACTGCCATAATACCACTTGCTTTTTTACGTATCGAAATCATGACCGGCTTTTTGTTTTGTGTTCATGCCCATCGGTCTAGCCACCACAGTCACCGACTAAAATCACTTTACATAATTAGATTTTAATCGATCGATTATTACTATTATATTTTGTTAGCTTTTGCATCCATAGGATATCATGTCACACGCAAGTGTACACAATAATTACTGCATTTATCATTATTCTGATGTTGAACTCTTCTGCTTCACCTACTCTAATGCCTAGTTTAACAATTGTTTGCTAACTATTGAAGCTTAAGAACTCACTATGTCAAACTTCTGAACGATTATCAGCTTCTATTTAAATGAAGTTGTAGAATGCAAGAAAAGTATCATCATTTGTCATCCTGTTGCATTCAGTGACTATTCTTTTTAAGTTAAATGTACTAGAGGTCTCCAATCCACGAACTCCAAACGGGACTGCAGCTTTATCTATAGACGAATTAGTGTAATAAGCCTACTACTTTTAGAAAAGGATTTCCTCTTTTCTTTTTATTTCGGTTATAGTCGATGGGTATTTCCGTTCACCCTTGTAGAGATGTTTATTACTCGATAGATGTTTAACTATCTCACATAGATCACTATGGAGCTAAAGTTATGTTGTGAACCTATCACTCATCGGTATAGATAGATAACTTTCAACCAGGGGATTACGGGTTTTCGAAAGCTGCTACACCTATCGAGGTTTATGTGGCTAGGTTGTAAGTTTCCTCAACCCTTAAACAATAAATGTGTGGCTCATCACTGCCTAGTGTATGAATATGCATGTGGTTAGTGAAAGAGTTTAGTTGTTCAAAAAAAAAGTTATGTACAACAAACCTAGACAACGCAATGAAAAAAAGATTATCAAAAATGTGACCTTAGTGATGAACTTTTTCTCATTTTCTGTGTAAATAATTTAACAAGTTATTGTGTGACCAGACTGTTCAGAATGCATAGCGGTAATATTATTACCCGTTTAAAATCATCTTCATTGTCACTTAACTTCGTCTAAATTTGCTGAAAGGGCTAACTTTTTCAAGTACTACAAACTCTGGAGTTGTGATTTATTGGTAACTTGAACCAGAAGGTCATGGGTACGAACACCGTTCGAGCTACCGAGGTTTAGGCAACCAGGTAGTATCATTTGTTCTGATATAATCGATATAGCTCACTAACTATTACAATAGACTGTCCATGTTCACTGAGTACAATTCTACCTTAAATCACCTGCCGGTTAAACTCTAATCATCCAATAAACGATGTGGATGTGATCACGTGGAACTGTAGCTTTATTGATTTAGGCACTCACTTTTCAACCAGCGAGTAAAAAAATACCCCTACCCACTGAGATCTGGGCAAGTAGGTGGGTAGTACTGTCAGCCCTCACAAAATAAGTGTGGCTCGTTGTACACTGCACGAGTACAAGTGTTTCATTTCCAAAGTTTACTACTACTACTACTACTACAAGTTAGGCACGTTACAACTTTTAATTTCAAAGTTATCTCAAATTGTCCCGTTCACGGCGGTGGCAGATATAGTGTTTCCGCTGGAAGCTAAACTACCAAGCCTAAAACATAAAATTCGAGCTATGCAAAGATGTGTGTGTAGTCATCATTTCAAATCCCACTGTGTACTAATGTTTAGACAGGCAGCTAGGTACTAAAATCAACCATCTCAATAAGTGCAACTTATGGTGTAATACATCAACCTAAATGTAATTAAAATATTATTTACGCCTATTAGCAGGTTTCTATTGTGACAAAAGAGTTACTCTGACACCAGGTGACTCGCTTTTTTGGGTAGGGAGTTGGAAGTGAATTGGATAACCAGTACACAAAAAATAATGTCCAGAAAAATCCAACTTCCTCAAGTTGTTCAGTTTGGTTGATTTTTGAAAATATCAAATCAAGCGGAATCAGATACTTTTTTACCTACTTTAACTTGTTTAATTGATCTTATATTTCAGGTGTGTATCTATATGCTGTCTGTCATTCAGCATGAATAGTCAATATCTTGTAGCTGCTAGTCATACAGAAACTGTTCACATTTTCAAATTGGAAAATCGTTCGTAAGTTGTTTCATTTTTCTATCCTACCGAAATTCGCTTCCCCCACCCTCCTATTCATGCCGTATAATGAGTGGTTTAGACATGGAACTTCGACCTATTGAACCTCTTCTATGTATTAAGTTATGCTCAACGGGGCTAGTACTGTTGGCCAATGTGTTCAATAGGTGTTATTCATAAACTAGAATAGGAGCATGCACATCGTTACTAATTTCAGTTGTTTCACTCAGCGTCATATACGTATGTGTACGCCAGTTGGTCAACATATGAACTAACATTCTTAAAGATTTGTTCACTTATTCTTCAGTGATTGTAAGGTAACCGCAATGCCAGTAGTAGTGTAACAGAAGTTGATATTTCAAATGCATCCTGAAGAAAGCTTAGGGTGATTAGAATCGTAGTGTGACGTCAATGTTTGGAGTTACTGTCTGCTGGTTTGAGCCGTGTAAGTAGCTCTAGGCTACCTGATTGGGATGGGAAAACCAGTAACTGTAGAGTCATGGCTTAAAGCAATGACGATGGCGTAAGTTTATTCACTCTCTTTTTACCTCAAAATATAGAATATCTCATCATTGTACAACTTTTGCTTCTTTTCATATACACATACACAGACGGACACTATTTATTGTACTATTCTTTCAGTTCTCTTAATTTTCTCTTCTTTTTGCTGTTGTACGTCGCAACAACCTGGAGTAACGCACTTTTTCTAAAATAAGTTTCTATATGTTTATCGTAGTCAATATATTTTTCGTGTCTAAATATATCGTCGCCACTTTTGCGGAATAAACAGTTATCTGTTTCAATTTTCACATTCTAAAGGTCATTACTTTTTGACCACTTTTACGATCGATACATGACCTGACTGTATTGCACTTTATTTGCCATTTATCGTCAATTTTTGGTAACATTTTGACCGGAATGTTTAACCTTGTTGTTTTAAGAAGCACCTCAATTTTTGATAAGTTCGATACTGACTTTAACGGTTTTATTATGACTTGTGAGATTCCGTTATAGAAGTTTATTTGTACATATCAGACGGAATGAAATTTTTTCGATTGTTTAACTACTCATGATTTTCATCACAAAGTGACATCAGTTGGAGAACCGTTAGAGATCTGGCAGCACTGGACAGCCGTTTCTTCGTAGGATGGGACTGCTTAACAGTGCACATACATGACCCCGCTAGGGCTCGAACCCAGGGTTTTCAGGCGCCACAGCCAGCACGTTTCCGTTAGTGACTTGCTTTGAGATATGATTCTCGGAGTTCTAATCAGAAGTCGTGACCCATGGGGCCAACTAAATCGAATATGGGGACAGTTTACTCGACGACGGTGCTGGATGTAGGGTGGTGCTGTATCGTGAACTAACAGAAGTAGGAAAGGTGGACCCTTGAATTCCGAACCATTGGGTCAATGATAACATGCTGTTCGCGGGACCTAAGGGTCCTGGATTCGCACTGCTGAGGAGTCCCACATTAAGACGAAATGGCCGTCCGATTCTCCGAAGTTTCCAATGGTTCTCCAACTGATATCAGTCCATGATGAAAGCCAACCTGAAATCAATAAATAAATCCCCCACATCCTTAAAATATAATTCGATATTAGTTTACGATTGTAAGACAGTTACAGACAGATGAAAATAACATAGGACCTGGTATAATACTTTATTGGTATTCTGCATTTTTCCCATTGTTGAATTGCAGGAGTAGCTAGGTACCTCTCTGTCTGCATATTAGCTTCTTGTGTAAATGTCTCAATAGTACCTGTAGCCATATCTCGGCTATATATCTGATAGTGACCAGTGATGAAATTCAGAAGTTGCAATTATTTTTTGGGGAACTCTCCAGTTAAATGTAACTGCTTCCCAGTAAGCTACAGGTTCCCCACTCTCTAGAGTGAGAATGCGAACCAACAGAATAAGGTGGTTGGTGGAAATAATCATACCGAAACTAATAAACAGACAGGACACAATCAGAAAAGAACAAGTTGGTATGATAAATGAAAATGTTATTTACTCCAAGATAAATTGTGGAGACAGCTTTGCCACTGTACTAGATTCTGATTCATACCGCGTAAAGTCGGCGAACATTATTCCACGCCACTTGTTGAAGATTGCATGGATTGATAGCCCCGTTCCAGTATGACTTTCTTTTTCACTTTAACTCCAGTTATTACTATGCCTCTAGATGACCTATGGTTTAATATCACTCACTCAGTGTGTTGTGTTCCACCGAATGGAAACAGTAGTATGAAATCATTGACGACTAAGTATCTACAGTGCTACAATCCTTTGTAACCCATCAAAGACGGTTTATCGTCTTGGATACGTTTCTTGGTCATAAATCAACGTAATGTTTTACAGCTGCTCGTGGATCACATAATGTATATCTCATCGTTTTCATTCACTTGAATTTTAACAAAAAAATAACCTGAAAACACATTGAACAGGGTAGAACATGGATCATTGTGAACTTTCTACTGACCTAGGGTAACATTTATAAAAACAGAAGAAGCCATTGTAAGTCTGATATCTTGTATAGAATAACATTACTTCAAGTTGAGACGTGTTTACGGACTAGGCTCATTGATATGCAGTTGTGTTTTGATTGAAAACTTGATCTAAAACCATAAACACTTTGCAGAAAAGCAGCTGACAATAATTTTTGACCTGATATATTTACCAACAAGTAACTTCATGAGTTTAAATGTATAACAGATTATGTTAAAGGTTAATGGTCATGCAACTCAATCCAGTTAAGGTTTATGTCCCAGACTATGGGCGACACTCTTTATGAGGTCCTACGATACTACCCGCTTGTTCAGGTCGATGTTGGTTGACGGGGATTTGAACTTTGGACCTTCTACCTAAAAGCTAAGTGCTCAAAACAATGAATAACATCTCTAGGTTGAGGTAATTTTTATTTATCGGTGAATTTGAATCTCCAGGTTTCTCTTCCAGAGGAATTTGTTTTGAACCTTCTTGTGTGAAAAGTATGGCAGCGTTATTCTAATTGGTTTATGCAGGCAGCATAAATGCAGGTTTTACTACACTTTCTTTTCTGTGGCATACTTCTAGTTGCTTCGATGATGTTACATAACACAGTCAACGAGGTCCTGAACCCATATGAAGTCTGATGCTTCCTACTTTTTTCCCATATTAATTTGATATTAATCACGGGCTGACATCAGTTAGGGAGCCATTGGAAAACTGGAAGCACTGGACAACTGTTTCGTCGTAATATGGGACTCCTCAACAGTGTGCACCCATGAATCTCGTCAGAGACCGAACCCAGGATGGTCAGGTTCCGCTGCCAGCATGTTATCATTGAGTCACTGGGCCAGATTCCAGTGGTTCAGATTTTCTACTTCTATCTTTTCGCGATGTTATGCAACCTCCATCCAATGCCGTCATCGAATAACTATGAACATACTCGACTTGATTGACCCTCGTGGTGACGACGTCTCATTGGAACTTCTGAACCACCAATCAAAGCGAGGTCATGGGTGCGCCTTGCTGAGGAGTCCCATTCTAGGACGAGACAGCTGTTCAACGCTCCCAGGTTTTTAGTGTTTCTCCAGCTGATGTCAGTCCATGATGAATGCCAACCTAAAATCAATAAATAAATCCTCACAAATCTCCAAATTGAATCCCTTGGTTTCGTTTGTCTTCCTGTGCGTTGTGTTGAAACACTGAACTTTGATTTTGTGAGTTGCCCTAACACATTGCACTTCGTCCTGGTTGTAATAAGAGTGATCGCTTTGAGGTATTTTGACATTACAATATGGCGGCTACTTTGTCACATTCTCCATAGTTATGTGTATGACTAATTTGGCTTTCTGTGTAAATTCCATTGACGCTGCTGCATTAATGCTAATTGTTTCTTCCACTTTTAGATCTGAAAAGACTCCTGATGTGCAAACTGATCACTACACTAGACAGCGTACAACCTCTACCAGTTCTGGAGCTAGTCAAGGTGCTGGATGCGGGACTGACGATTGTGATTTACCTCCATCCGAAGACATAACAGGAAATTATTCAGGATGTTTAGATCACAATGCTTCTGGTTTAGATGGTACAACAACTGGTGCAGCAGCTACGATGGCCAGTTGGAGTCAAGGTTTAATGGGATGGATGGGAAGCACATTGAAAACATATTCTGTCTATCTACCATATCAAGTATCAGAAATTTTCGCTCAAGATCGTGCATTTGCATATGCTCGAATACCATGTGCGTCAGTTAATACCTCCTATCGACCACCAGGCAGTGGTAGTCCAGTATCTATGGCTTCAACGGGGGAATTAGTCAGTCCTAACTATGTTGGCCCTACTTCTGCAATCTCTCAAAGTGGTCTCATTCAGCCATCACCTGGACAAAGAAAAGTAGCTGCACTTGTTTAGTAAGTTTGCTTTATTCACTTTTTCGCTTACAAATATTTAATCTTGATGGCGTGCATATTCAGTTGAGTGGTACAGACATTATAACTCCAAGATGCTTTTTGATTTATCCTCACTGTCAGTAAGCTTATAACAGAATATTATTGTTATAATCTCTGCCGCAACTAGTTAGGAACTCACCACTTTTAGCATCCTGTAAACCACCAGGATGTAAGTCGTGCTCTGGTTGCCATCGTAGTTTGACCTATTTGCAAGAGTGAATATGAGTAGTATATATAGCCACGTCGAAAGTGGTAATGACCGACTGGTTAGGATTAGGACAAGATGGATACACATTATTTGATAAAAATGCAAGATAAAAGTGGCAAGAAGAGTACAAGTTAAAATGCAGACCAAGAGATAGTTTTGCATACGTGAACCTTATTGTAAGTTGTAGTATTTTTTTTCTCCCCATTATATTGGTTGTATATTCCCGATAAACAATATCTGCTGCTCAGGTGAACTTCTCTCCATTATAACTCTTCTTAGTGGCTGTATTACTCTGGCAACAATTGTAAAAACCGGGTCGCGTTCCACTTTTAGTTTATTTATTTGCTGGTATTCCGTCGTTTTCGTATGCTGTTGTTATTCTACTCTTTCTAAGGGACTTAATGCAAACACCAATAAACCTCAAGATGTTGTAATTACAGAAAATGGTTGAAGACGACGTAAAACTAAGGTTAAAGCTAGTAGTCTACCGTTTTTATGTTTTTAGTTTTGCTTACTCATCTACAAATGAAATGCACTCAACCACCTTGTGCACATCCGTGTAGTAGGCAACGAGCCATACCTATTATGTGAGGGTTAGTGATACTACCTGCTTGCCCAGACCTCAGCAGATGGAGAGGAGTTTGAACCCGTGACCCGGTGGTTGATAGCCATCTCCGCAAACTACTGAACCACAGCTCCATGGTTATCCATATGACTTACATCGAACCATCCGATTGGTTACTACTTAAAGTGTAGGTAGGTGGAATACTTGGTTTCTCATTACAAGGAGGAAGAATATTTGCCACTGCGTTGTATGCTCCGTCATTTGATTTGCTTGTAAAGTCGATTTAAATCAAGTATCCTTGAGTACAATGATCATAGTTCTACTTCGGAATGTGGTTCTAGCTAGCGGGCGGATAGACAAACAGAAGAAATCAGTGTATGATCAGGCATTACTGAGTAAAGGACCAAGTTGTCACACCTCATAATCAGCACATCAAGCTAGAATGCACTACGATGAAAGATAAGAAATATAGAAGAAAGCAGTCAAAAGTGGTAGAAGTTCATAAAAAGAGAGTAAGGAGGACTGAACGAATACTTAAATTCAGTTTTACGGTTAGTATGAAAATAATGTGTGGATATGCCCCTGAAATCGATTCTGATCCACATTGCCTACAGTCTCCAACCACTGGTTTCTGTTGTCATACGAACGCAAACCAAGTAGTCTTCATTCGCCTACATGTCTCAGAACAACATTTAAATACTTCATGGACTGATACTATCATTTAGTCTAACCGCCTGTAACCTTTTTCTAGCCTGAACTCACTTCAGCTAAAGTGTTGGGAGGAGAAAAATGTTAACTAGGCATGCATAACACATTTTCCAACTACCTGAGCCGATGAAGGTTCACAATCTCATCAACTGACTCTCCGCTTATCCCTGAAACTACACCTGACCTCTAGATTACTGACGTCGTGACACCACAACACATGGCCTATACTGCGAACGCAACTGTAGTCAAATACCTGAAGCTTTCTCATATCCTATACCTTCTATGGTCATGTTTCACTACCATGTGGTAGAACATGGCGAACTGCAGCAAAATACACTCGGCCCATCGTCGGCAATCGGATATCATAGTGGCACCAAAAATGTTGTAAGTTAACGAAGGCCGACCGAGCTTTTTGTATGCATGCAGAGATTTCGCCCACCAGGACTGATCCAACTTCCTACGTAAGTAAAGTTGCTAAGGTACTCAACCATTAAACTCCTTATTCTTTGATAGGGCAGCAGTGAGAGCCAATTCTGAGGCAAAATTTGGGTTTGTGTGAGAAAAAAATGTATCCCAAATATCCCCAAAGTGTCACTCAATGTGTTCAGAAAACTCTGCATCTTGTCAACGTCTTCATCTAGCAGGATTTCGTCATTTGTGCACTCTAAATCTACTAACTAGCCTGCTGTGTCAAGATACGTCCTTGTACAGTGTGATGACTGACTGACAAAACCAACGTAGAACCTCGCACACAGTTCCATCGGCTCAAGTTACCACACTTCACAGCGGTACACAAAGAACAGGTGGATATGAGAGTGGTGTCAAAGCAGGAAAGGTTGCTTGACAGAATAAGCAATTAGAAGATGACGCATAGTGGAAATATTTAAGTTTTGGAAGACATCAAAGAGTGAATACATCTGCACCATTGTGATCAATTTTCAGCTTCGTCACCAAGAGTCCTCAGTCACTGATTCCTTTTGTCTCAAAGACACCAACTGGGCAGTCTAAATCTCCCTCCACCGGCTCAGACCAACAGTCAGAGACTTCATTGACTGATACCACGTCTTGGTTTGGCCACCCTAGGCCTTTGAACCTAATCCAACCTCCCCCAACATGGCACATCGAGGTAGGTGCTGCTTCGCATGCGCAGTCCATGTTCAAGCTATCTCATTTGACTAAGGTTCACAATCTCATCAATTGACTTGCCTGTCTGTGGGTTGAAATATGATCTTTGCACCCTCGTCCAGGTTTGAAACCTTCCTGGTTTTTCTCCAAAGGAGCTCCAGTTAGGCGTCCGACAACTAAGGAGCCGAGGATCTTGAACACAATATTAGTCAAACAAATTCGCATGTGGTTGTCTTAGGAAGACTTCTCTCTCTTTCTTTAAACTAGGCTGATCAGTGAAGTACTCCATGATTATGGTACTACCTCTGATTGTCGTGTACTGCCTAGTACGTCGGTCACTTTAAGCAGCAATTTCCTACCTCCATCCTTGGAAACATCGAGTGGCAAACTGTCAGGTCCTGCATGCTTTGCATCTTCCCACGTTCTCTACAGCCTTCTCAACTTCAAGGAGAGTTGGAAGACCGACATCTGCGTCCTAATCAGGTTCAGACTGGATGTTGGGCAGCTGGAGGGTTGGTTAGGGACAGTTGAACTGTGCTTCGAAGTGTTGTGCCCAACGTTGTAGCTGCCTGTCCTGAGAGGTTATCAGGATACGATGGTTTTCGATGATAGTTTCACTCACCATCGTGTTGTTCTTGTAGGTATCCTTAATAGGCTTAAATAGTTGCCGAGTGTTACCTACCACTGATGCTTTCTCCATCTCTCTCTCTCTCTCTCTGTCACCACTCACCACTGTTTGGGATTGACGCTAAGACTAATGGTCAACTTACGTTTGAGCTGCTTTCTCTCTTCATAGTGGTTGGAGGCAGCTGGAATCAGTCTTCTTGCGTTGATCAGTTTGGATGATGTCACGGAAATTCATTGAGGTTTGCTATCCTTCGAGTGTAAATTACCAGTTGTCTTTACGGGTGTTTGGATAGCAGACGTAATGTGACTTCAGGTTTCCTAATGATGAGCGTGTCCAGATAAGTGTTTGTCTATTTCTTTTCTAAATTGGAACTTGAAATTCTCATCTTCCAATTAACGATAGATAGGCTTTAATATCCTCTGTCTGCTGCGACTAGTAGAGTGCGAACACACGAGCCTGTGCGCATGACTGGAGTCGAAACAGGCATTCGAGAAAGAGTGGCAATCGTCCACCGACCCTCCAACGATGACGTATAGCGTTATGATCTATGTGTCCATCGTTGGTTTGATGTTGACGGAGGCCATGTGAGACAGTGCCTGTCATTATCCCTGATGTTAGTGCTGTTCAGAAACAAGTGGTTGTCAGAATAAAATTGCAGCACGATCACCGTCATCTATTCGTTGGCATGGGATTGCATGAATACCTCACAAATGTCTCTCTGATGTGCTGGGCTTCCCTACTTGAGCGTTAAAGTCTCCTGCCATAATGATAACATCTGAACTTTCTGTTATCTGTATCGAAGTTGACATCTTTTGATAGAATTCATCGTTCGTGTCATGTGTACTACTGTCGGTGGGTGTGTGGGCGGAGATGCTTCCTAGTCCTAACAGATCCATTCAGTCGAACAGCATATGGACGGCTGTTTACGAGTATCTAGCCAAAAGGCGCACTTTCTGCTGTACAACTCAATGCTACGCCTACACCAGCGAGTTCATGAGAGCTAGCCACTAAGTCTCGGATGCTTGTAAGATGAATTTTGAAGATTCACTACAATGGGCAGGTGAGGTCAATTTAATAAGCACACTCTGGTCCTGTATATGTGTCTGGGAGACATATCACACATCCACGGATAGAGATTCCAGAGTTTTGGTGAGTTGTGCTTGCTATCGGGTGTGGCTTAGAGTTCGAACTCTGAAAGCTCCTACAGGAAATAGACGTTGCGGTCTTAGGAGACTATTAATGAGGTTTCGATGGCTTTGATGCTTGACAACGGTTGTGAAGTGAAGGGTTGGGTATGGCATAATTGGCTAAATATAAGTATCAGGTAAAGGCAAAGGAGGAGACAGAATTGAGGAGGACAGGGTATGTTTGGTTGGTTCTTGTATGTTACTGGAAGTGCGCGGGTGGTCGACACCACACCGTGGAAGTCTATTTCTTCTTAAGGTACCTGGATGAGAAAAGACTTGTGTGAATGCAGAGTCCATAGTACACCAAACTAAAGCCAGACACACACAACCTGTTTGCAATTTTGAGATTTTGGTTTTATTTTCAATCTGACTGTGAATCCCTGTCCCAAGGATCGGTATGCTGTGACGGGGTGGATTTGTGTTAGTTATGGGGCCAAGCTTATACAACCCTCCACTTCCCGTTGGGAAAGCAGCATCAGCGTGGCACTGCTGGTCATGCAAGGAAGATACCTTACTGCTGTCACACACCATCCAGTTTGC